TTTGTAACAATAATTTATACAATAATTTTAAGATCGTTAATTGGAATATAATTGGAATATTACTAAAATACCTAATTTCAATCAGAATATAATGACTAAAAATTTTTTATAGGGTAAGTTAAATGAGTATAATCAAATTATTTGTAATGCATATAAAAAAGACAAGATCAAATGTCAACATGTTTTGCCCAAGATGCATAAAGAGTTTGATACATTAAAAAAAAGAATTTAACTTATATTTTTGAACAATATAAATTTACAAAAACAGAAAAATTTCATAAACAAACATATTTTTAATTTGATAAGCATCAAACTAAAGCAAATGTAAAAGATTTATTTGAATACAGAGCTATGAATTTTCCTAAATTTTTAAATAGTAATTTTGATTAGAATTATAATTATAGTTAAAAAAAATAGAATCAATATAAGAATTCAAAACATAAAAAAAAATGTTATTGCAATTTTAGAAGAGAAAAAAGATCTGTAAAATATATAATAAAAATTAGTGAAGTAGTTAAGTTGTTGCATCTGAGATGGCCAGGTTTAGAGTTCAAATCTTACCTGTGATGATTTTTAAATAAATAAATATATATGATCTGTATAACAGTTAACCATATCCTGTGAAGTTGAGGGTATTACTGTTCTGTGTTCTGGCTCTGTAGCCCTAAGTACTGGCATTGGTGTAATGTACTATGTTACATCAAGAAATATATCTGGTTAAGTGGCAATAGGTGGATATAAATCTGATATAAGTTCAATAAAAGGTGCTGATGAGGAACCAATGAAGGACTGAGAACTTATCCAATCTGGATGTAAGGACTGGAAATCCATCTTGAAGTCCTGAATAGGAAAAATAGAATCTCTCCAATAGTACCAGTTAGAAACTAGAATCCTATAAAGGCAATCATTAGTTGTAGTATTAGGAACTATAATTAACAATTAAATAAATATATAGTAATTCATATACAAATACAAAAACAATCAATCACCTGATATACTTACAAATACTATACACATATAAGTCAAACAAATCTTTTACAGATAAACATTAATGCAACTACCACTTCTAAGATAATGATGTTCTTCACATATGTGGGCCATACTTAGAAGTGAATGATGACAGTGGGCAGGTAGTAAAGCCTATTTTAGTGAAGGATCAGGATTATGTTGACCAGACCCAATGTACTAGGCAGGTTATGGTATCCTCTACAGCTGTGCAAGCTGAGCTTAAAACAGTGAGCGACTCTGTAGAAGACATTACAAATGCTATCTCTACCTTCAATACTTCATCTTCTACTGAGATAGATAAATGCTAAACTAAATTCTTAAATCAATATAATCTACCTCAAATCACTGAACCTGTTTCACTCAAAAAATTTATTCAATATCTACATTTAAATAACTTTTTTAATCCAATAAAAATATCTATAAACTCCCAAAAAACAGAATCATACATTTACTTAAAAACTACAGACCAAATACTATCAAATTACACAGAAATAGACTCCTTTCTTTACAATATATATGGTTATTTACTATTATTAACATCTTTTAATTGGTCAATTCCTAACACAAACTCTACTGATCTCTTTACATCAAATCAACCAATCTATTCAAACAATTCTACAACATCTCCTTCTATTCCATCAATAATCACAACTGAACATACTTCTATACTAATTAAAATTGAATCAATAAACATAAATGGTCTCTCTCAATTCAACAAGAAACTTTCCTTAATAGAACTATTACAAGAAAACAACTTTGAAATATTCAGACTCTCTGAAACACACTTGTCTTCTAAAGAAGAAAAAATATTTAGTAACTAAATTCAAAATTATACCAGTTTTTGAAGCTTATATACAAATCATCACCAAGCTGGTGTTGGCATATTTGTGCACAAAAAATTTCTAAATATATTGCCAAATCCCATAATTACAATAACACATAATTGGACTTACTTCTATTTCAAAAACACACCCATCAGACTTCTTTAAGTATACTTTCCAACTTATAAAAAAAAACAACTTTGTAAAGAAATTCAAGACTACTTAATTTCTCTTACCCAAAATAACAATATAAATTAATTATTATAGGAGATTTAAACAGTGTCCCAAATCCAAGAATTGACAGATCTTCCCCAAAAAAATTATCAATTCTAGAAAGCCAAATTATTCAATACTTAATTAGTTACATCTTCTATCCTAATACATCAAACTTCACTTTTAGTTGAAACAATATACAAAGCTGAATCAATCAAATATGGACTAACTTATCTATCACTAATATCAACTACATAGAAATTCTTCCTATTGGTACAATTGAATCCAATCATCAAATAATAATTCTTGAAATCTCCATTATAATCAATAAATCCAAACCACATAAACAACATAAATATAAAGCCTTTTTCTAGAAAAACTGCATTAAAGAAAACCTTGAAAACTACAATGAACAAACAACTAAAAATCTTCAACATTTATCTTCAATAATCTCTACAATCTTTAACCAAAACCAACTTAATACTACATGGAATACAATCTACAAAGCAATAATCAAAGCCTCTACTAAACATATTCCTTTCAAAAAATTCAAAACAATTAAAGAAATTCATAATTCCCCATCACCAAAACATTCACTATTTTATTTCCATTACAAAGAAATCCAATTTCTTAAAAATTATATGAACTTAATTAATTTTTATACATTACTCACCAACTACCAAACCAAATATCCAGATTGCATATTCCAAACATCACACCCTTACTAATTCAAGTTAAAGAAAAATTCCAAATTATTAAAACTGCACTTAACTACTAATATCAACAATCAATCTATAATGAAATCAAAAAAAAATAGAAGAATGAAACAAATCCTTCAAAGAAACACCTAAACTTTTCTATAAAAAAATACTAGAAAAATAT